CAGCACCCCAAAGCACCACTCCCATGGCCAGCAATGCCACCAGCACCACTGCAGTACAGGTTTCTCACAACTCCACAGCAGAAAGGACAACGACAGCTGGCACCACGATGGCAACAGTGCGCAGTACAACCGCACATGTTACCCCCCTTGTAACTACAGCCGCTTCTACCACCCGCACCACCGCGGCACCCGAGACCAGCGAGACGGCCCACGCTACCATGTCGCCCTCTGGAACCACAACAGCTAGGATGACAACTGCGCAGGGCACCGCTGCACCAGCCCAGAACGCAACAACCAGTTGTGAGTGCCACCGCTCCCCTGCCTGCATCCAGGGTAGCAGGTGCCTTTGAGGGATGCTGTGCTGGAGGGAAACCCCCAAGTCAGAGGTGTCTTTGGTGCAACTTTTACGGGAGTCTTTTCAGTGCCTTTACCCCTTTGGGCCTTTTCCTGGGGTGCTGGCCTCTCCCGCAGGGTTGGGTGTGGGCTGTGGGAGACCTTTGCCTGGCGCTAAGAACTGATAGTCGGGGTGGGGGGGAAAGCTGCTTTTCTGGAAACCGGACCTGGGAGTGGGGGGTTGACTTGTCATGGGAACAGGCTGGTCCCAGAAGTGGAGGCAGGGCAGGGCGGCACCTCGGTGAGGCAGGAGGTGTTGGGGCCAAGATCCTGCTGCACCCGCGCCAGGACTGTGCTCCTTCTGCGAGCCCGTTCCTAGCATCTGACAAAGTCGGCGTTGCCTGTGAAAGCTCCTGCCTCTGAACCAGTCGGTCTCTAAGGTACCACCTTGCCCTGCTTCTGCCTGACCGGGTGATGAGTGGCCTGCAGGGGTGCCCTTCGGAGGCAAGACTAACGAGGCGTGGAGATGCAGTTCAGTGTAGAGATGCTGAGGAGGGCATGGGAAGGGTGGACAAACTACGCAGTGGCAAAGAGGAGGTCAGTAGGGATTGATTCTTGACGGTTTCTGCCCCTCTGACGGCGACTCTCTCTTTCCAGCTTCTGAAACAAGTGTTTTACCCTGGCCCCCGAGCACTCCCGCCAGCACGGCGCTGCAGTCACCCCCTGCGCTGCCCACCTGCCCGCCTCTGCCTGACAACGTTGGTGAGTGCCGCCCACCCGCGGAGACAAACTGCCCAACTTCATCCCCTCAGCCTTACCAACCCTGCCCTGTTTGCCCACCTTGGGCAGAGGGCTGGGCTGATCTGCCAGGAGCAGAGGGATGGACCCTTTTGAAGCTGGTCCTGTCTCCCTCTCTGCCACAGATTCCCCTGGATGTCCATAGTCATGTCCCTTAGCCTCTTCCTGCCTCCATTCCAAAGTGCGTCACTTAAGGATCACGATAACCCTTCTTCTCACCCCCTCCTAGTCCAGCCAGCCTACTCAGATGTATCCATGCAGCAAAACCGGCTTTTTATTTGGGGATGGAGGGGTTGGACGGTGCGTGAACGTTGCCTTTGACTTATACGCGGGGTCAACCTATAATTGAGCCCCCGATGGTGCTTCTCTTTGTGCTTGGTCTTGGGGGGGGGGGGGGTCTTGCAATGCTGTTGTCATGCAAATAATCAGTGAATCTTTGCTGTCTCTGCTCACAGTCGTGAATCACCTCTTGCTGTCACTGGACGTAAACACTTCGCTCAACCTCACCGACCCTGCCGTCAGGGGCCTGATTTTGTCGAAGGTGAGAGCCCAGGGTAGATGGGGGGGGGGGGAGTCCTAGCAGCTCCTGGGCTGGGCAAGATGGAGCAACAGGGAGCATCCAAGGCTGGCGGTTCAGAGCACCGACGGCTCGGGGTGGGGGCCTCCGTGCTGCCCCGGGGGGAGGATCCAGCTGGGTGAGAGCAGGACGGGGCTGGTGAAGCTAGTGGGAGCGCAGACCCCCTGCAAGGGCAGCGTAGGAGGTCGCAGTCCCTGAGACACAGGCTGTGCTCACCGTGGCGCTGTCCCTTCAGCTTCTCCAGGATCTGAAGAGCAATTTCCCCTGCGCCAACTTCACCCTGCAGTGGAGGGGGGAAACGAAGGTGTGACGTGGACCTGTCGACCGGCAGCTGGGGCAAAGCCCTTGGGATGAGAGCAGGGGGTTTTCCTGCTGCTGGTGCCTGGGCCTGGAAGCAGAGCCCCCCTGCCGGGCGTGGAGGCCCCTCGGAGGAGACCCTCTGCATCTGTCAGCCCCAGGGCCGCAAACCTGTGTGTCCCCAAAAGCAAGCCCTGTAGGAGACTCCCCAGAGCCGGGACCGGCAGCAACATCTGGCTGCTGCCTTAAGGGCAACGGTGGGGGAAGAGAGAAACCCAGCCAGTCTGGGCAGAGCGGGGCTTGAACCCCAGACTCGCCCACCGCAGGCAAGTGCGCTGATTCCTGGGGTCCTGCCTGCTCCCTGGAGGCTGCTCCTTGATCTCTGAGCCCCTGAGATCGTGCATGAAGCTGCATCCTCGTTCTCCCACTGCGAGGTGCAGCCCCAAGAGAGGACGCTGACCGCTCCTTTGCGGGTCTGCCCGCGGCTGCGTCCCTGGCTACAAAAGAGAGGCCAGATCCTGCCTTCCCCTGAGCAGAGAGGGGGGGCTTCTGGCCAAAGGGCATTTCTGGCCAGGGTTAGGTTGTCTAGTGCAGGTAAAACAGCACAAGAAAACCAGACCTGGGTTCTCATGGGGGACCAGAGGTGCCAGCCTTATGGGACGCAGTCCTTGCTCCGCTGCATGTTCATTTATATGCTTCAGCCCTCAGATAAATTCCTGACTAGCTGGTCTGCTTCTGTGGCTCCCGGAGGTGCTTGGGAGGGTTTCTGCTGTGTTTGCAGGCTGCACGCGTGTTTGAGAGGCCTGGTGCTGGGCATGTGGCCCCGGCGGGGGAAACCTCTGTGTGCAGATGGGCAGTAGCCAGGGTCACGGTCTTCCTTTCACTGTCCGGGCCCTGCCCTTTCCATCGGGGCTGGGCTGACTGCAGGCCCAGCTGCCTGGCCCCGGGGCAGGGGACACATCTCCCTGGGTGCCCCGTGGCACCAGGATGAACGGCCCTGTCCTGTTGCACCGTCCCCTCCCGGGATTTACTTCCTTCAGCCACGATCCACCTACTACAGCCTGAACCGCAACAGGCAGAGGGAGGCTCAGGCTGGCCAGACCCAGCTGTTTTGCGCAAATGCACTCGTGCACGCACCCACGTACTCACACATGCACATGCACGTGTCCTCGCACACAAGAATAAGCTCGCACAGCACACTAACTTGCACACATAGCGCATGATTAAAGACACACTCATGCACATGCATGCGCACGGTAACACACACGCACACAATGCAGCACCGATGAGAGAGGAGTGGCAGATGATGTGTAATCCAGTAAACCCAGTGACCGGCTCGCTTCCTCCACGGGTCCCAGCAGGGAGGCTAAGTGATGTGCCCAAGGAGGTCAGTGGCAGGCAGGGCCGGGCTGGGGGTGGCTCCCCTGGAGTTTAACAGAAGCAGGAGCCGAAGCTGGTTTGATGATGCTGAGGCCCCAGGGGCAAGAGCCTCTGTCCCTTCAGGCCTTGGGCCACTGGAAGGAGAGAGAGACCTACACTGCCGAGGTCTGCAGAGGGCGGGCAGCAACGGCATCCGCCCTGGATGGATTCAGTGCAGTGGAAAAATCCCCACACCTGCACTTCCCGGGACATGGAGCCCTTGAGGAGGTGCTGGCAGCCTGGGCACGGTCAGGGGAGAAGCGAAGGACGACTGGAGGGGGCCTGGGCTGTGTGCGGTGCAGGGAGGCACCAGGAAGGGCTTCCTGCAGCAGCAAATGCCCTGAAGAGGGGGAGCAACCCAGGAGCAAAGCCCCCTCCCCTGATGACTTGCGTGCACGTAGAAATTTCAGACCTGGAAAATTTCCCTCACTTAACGAGGGGGTTTTCCTGGGTGTGCTGCCCACTTCCCTGTGCCAGCCCCAAGGACGTGGGATCACGTACCAGCCCTGCTGGCATCAGTCCATTAAGCCGCGGG